GGGTTAAGTAGGACAAATTCAAAATTTAAAGGGTGAAATGATAATTTTTAAAGTTAATTTGAAAGTTAAACCATGAATGATCTCAAAATTTAGGGGTATTGTTGAGATTAATCCAATTTTGAAATCCATTTTATTTTATAGTTATTGATATAAGTACAAATAAACTCAAAAGAAAAATTAATCGAGCTATTAATAGACAGAAACAAATTAGTCCGTGTGGATCAAACTATCACAATGCTAATAATAATTCAAGAACTAACATGCCAAAAACCCTTAAAACAACTATCATTTGAGCAAGTACAATATGACTGAATATATGGAATATTTACCAATGCTCCCAAAAAAACAAAATCGTTTTGACGTGTTCGGCCTAGAGTTTCCAATGAAGGGTGGCTACATATACATCAAACGCACTTGATTCCGTAAATCCTGAATGCTTAAGATATATACAAATATTGATGTGTTTGGAATTTTGGAACCTTATATATTCAGGTCCAAGGCTCTTTGTGATGGAACAAATAATCCGGCTTTGCGTCCTATTTGTGGGAGGCCATTAGGTATGGAATTCTTCATCCGGAAGAATATGCTATTTATTGCCGATGCCTTTCTAGGGCTGTTTAAGGTTGGACTAAATGGAGGACTTGCGACTCAACTCGCCAATGCTGCAGAAGGAATACCCTTCAGATTTCTTAACGGTTTGAGTGTTGATCAACATACTGGAGATGTCTATTTCACAGATTTCAGTTCAAGATTCCTGCAAACGTAATTCTCTAAGCATAGTCAATTTTTTGTTTTCTTTCTTTCTTTGATCTAACAAAAATATGGACCTTTACTAAAAATATGCTTGAAAAAAGATAATTTTACAAGTAAAACGATATGAAAAATGTACACACATAAGTTTGTTTATGTTTGACACTTGAATTTAGCGGTTAAGGTTTAGGGTTTTTATTTCGCAAAATTTGAGTAATTGGATTCCTAAACTCTACTGTTTTTGAAACGTGGGTCCCAATTTAAAAATTTTGAAGTGGGTCCCGATACACATGAATACCAATTCAAAAATTTAGAGTGCAATTCTGTTAATTTCGCTGATTCGAGTTTTAATACAGTAAAAAGTTCTCACAAACAGTCTCATCTAATTTTTTTATTACAGTAAAAAATACATAAAGTCGCGTCTTAACTCGAATTAAAAACTCAAATTAGTGAACTAAACCGGCTTAAACATCCCTAAAGAAGAAAAAAAAAATAATTATTGGGATGCGTCTGGGTCTTGATTCTAGTCTCAAGTCAAATCCAACAAAAATGATGATGATTATAATTTCTATATATTGTGCAGTCAAATCCAACAAGCAGTTGCTGCCAATGACTCAACAGGAAGGTTATTGAAGTACGATTACAGAACTAAAAACGTTACAGTGCTGCTAAGGCGCCTTTCTGGTGCAAACGGCGTTGCAATCAGTTCAGATAGCTCGTACGTACTTGTCGCCGAGTTCTTAGCCAACCGAACTCGGAGATTTTGGCTACATGGGACCAAAGCTTTTACGTCGGAAATCGTGGCCACTTTTCGGGGAATGCCGGATAATATTAGGAGAGCCCCTTTCGGAAATTTCTTGGTGGCAGTGAACGTAGAGAGACCAGCTGGGGGACCAAGGCTAATCCCCACAGCAATAAGAATCAATGGAGCTGGCCAGACTTTGCAGACTTTGCCTCTTGACCGATACTACAACAACACTACTATCAGTGAGGTTTTACAGTGTGGCAAGCAGTACTATATTGGCTCCGTGGAGGCAAATTTTGTTGGTGTTTTCAACGGATGATGATGAAGTTTAAGGATTGGGTTTGGCGAATTTATAGGCTAGAATGCCAAACCCTAATATATTGTTGACTAAAAATTTCCTTCCTGAAAACTATATATAATAAAAGCTTGGATCTGGGTTA